TTTCAGCGTCCAGGTGGTCTGGTTTGACAACTTTAATCGGATGTCTCCTTTTCCGACGATCTTCAAGGTTTCATCATCAGCTACATGAACCCTCCCAAAATCACCATTAATATAGTTCTCCATGATTTCTTGGCATGGGGTGAAGTGAAAAGATGTCCCTGAATCCAAGATCCATGATTCAATCGGACTGTTGACGCTTAGAATCATGGCATTACCTGTTTCCTATGTCATGTTGGCAGATTCCTGTGCACCGGTATCTTTCTTCAGTGCTCGATAATCTCTTTTCAAGTGACCTTTCTTGCCACAATTATAACAGGGAAAATCTTTCTTTCATGTTCTTGATTTGCCCCTTTTGGATTTCGATCTGCCACGATTTGAATTTCTTTCTGAAGTTCTCCCTCTAGACTCGGTGTGCAAGGTCGATGAGGTTGATGCTTCACCCAATTCTCTCCGTCGAATTTCTTCGCTCAATACCAGATCCCGAACATCGTCAAATTTTAATTTGTTATTTCCCGACGAGCTGTTGACTGCTATAACAGTAGCATTCCAACTGTCTAGTAGAGATGATAAGAGAATTAAAGCTCGAACTTCATCATCGAATTCAATTTCCACGAAACTCAACTGGGTTGTGATTGTGTTGAGTTCATTCAGGTGTTGAGCCACTGATGCCCCTTCTGCCATCCACAAATTGAATAATCGCCTCATCAAGTGCACTTTGTTTGAGGTCGATGGCTTCTCATACATACTGGATAGAGCCACCATAAGACACACCGTGGTCTTTTCCTTTGCTATGTTGAAAGCAACATTGTGGGATAACGTCAGTCGGATAACTCCGAGGGCTTGTCTGTCGAGAAGAGCTTAGTCTTCATTCTTCATGCCCTCTGGTTGTTTTCCTGAGAGAGGTTGATATAGATTTTTCTGGTATAGAAAATCTTCAATCTGCATCTTCCAAAAGCCAAAGTCCGCACCATCGAACTTCTCAATTTTCACATTTCCTTCGTCTGCAGTCATCGCTCCCACTCAAATTTGGCTTTGTTTGGATCGTTTCTGACAATTCTTGCGAATTACCGTGTATTAGAACATCTCCGTCGATAAATTCGTATCACCGACAAAAATTTACTATGCACAAAATTTACTATTCATGTGAACAGTAATGAATAGTAACCTCGCAAAAAATTGACAAAATTCACAACCAAAGCTCTGATACCAGTTGTTGGGAAATAAAACGGAGTACGAGTAATTTCCCTATAACCAGATTAGTAAGAAAGCGAAATAAAAGCGGAAAAATAATACCCAAAATTGATAACGGAGTTCAGCCAATTGTGCCTACGTCTCCGGACTACTGCAGATCTTTTACTAAGAGAGAAAATTTACAGGTGTTTACAAAACACTCACTACTCACAAGAAAGCTCTCTAGTATTAGGAGAAAGAAATGATTTGGGATGATTTTGAAGCTAAATGAGCTAGGGTATTTATAGTTGAAGCTTAAGGACTAATCTTTGAAAATACCTTATAGTGCAATGACTAAAGTGTAATTAACCCTATTACATTCAACAATTGCTGCTCATTTTTCAGCAAAATTAGGCAGCCCACCATGGACCAAATTTAGCTGCCGGCTGCTACTAATTTTCAACAATGCTGGCTTTTGAATATTCAACAGAGACAATAGAAGGTTTCAGCTTCTACTGCAATGAGTGCGATGCCAACTTGCACGATTCATGTGCAAACTACCCAACTCGTGCTATAAAGCATGCTTGTCATCCTCATAATCTTCTTCAACTCGGGAAAAGCATTTTCCACGACATATATTGTAATGCTTGTGGTGAAGGTTGCAATAAGGGATTCAAAAAACTGCCGTGTAACGGTATAACGGTCGTTATATCGCGGTATCGGCGGGCCTCGTTATCGATATCAGCCGAAATCACGGTGTGAAACGGAATCACACCCATAAAGGTCGATAACGACCGTAATTTAATGGGTAACGGTCGATCGCGGCTATAACAGACCAGTTTTCCCATTAATCCCCATTACAATACCAAAAATCACCAACAACACAGTTACTTAAAAAAAGGTATTTTTTTTACAGGAATTCAAAGACGGAAAACCATATTATCTCTTACCCTTACCAACTGGAAATGAAACTTTGTGGGTGGGAATTGCGTATCAAGCTTGCTAGCCCTCTTACTGGAGGGAGAAACATCCATATTTGGCGATAAATAAGCATAACTTGCAGCAACTCCAAAGTTAGGGAAGTAGGCATCAGCCGAGTTATTCCCAAGCTAGAGAATTGTTTTGTCTCTGAAAGCCAGAAGGTTCAAACAACCCAGCTAGATCGGGCGAGTTAGGAAAAGGCAATGGGTTTCGAAGGGTGGGTATGGTGAATGAATTGCAGGTGAGTAGCTAAGTCAAGCATTGGTTTGGTTTTAATGGGTCCTCTTCATCTTCCTCGAGAAGAGCTTCTAACCAGGTGGCTGGCACTGAGCAGAAGCGGGCAAGTTCAACTCGACTCCCTTCACCACCATATTTTTTAAATAGGTTTCGAAGGGCAGTGTCAATAGTAGATTTGGTCATTATTCTTAGCTGTCACATTCATATTTTAAATCTTATTATTTACTCAATATTTTTTATTTTTTTATTTGTTATGAGTTAATACAACATTTTTAAGAAATTTATAAATAAATACAAAAATAATTAATGATGGTAAAAATTGTGTTTATGTATTAATAAAAGTCTATAAGTGTTACAAAATACTCTAAAAATCATTAAAAGTGATTTTCTATAATTATAATTATAATTACTATATTTTATAATAAGTTGTGCAAATTTAAAAAAATTCACGTCCGCGATACTCTCAGTGACCGCAATAGCATCCGTTACGTCCGCGACCACAATAAACGCAATGCGACCGAAAACGCGGCCGCGACCGCAATTTGAATCCCTGGTTGCATTGACTCTTGCTTCAGCTGCAAAAAGTGTGATTTCAATGTACATCTCAATGTATTCCACTTCCGCCAAGTTTTAAGCATAAACGTCACTTGCATCCACTTACGCTTGTAAGTCCATTTGCTGAAGATGACTCGGGAGATTATTGTTGCTATATGTGCGAGACGGAAAGGAATCCAGACCTTCAAGTTTATTACTGTGAAGAATGCAATTATATTGCAGATATTGATTGTGTCTTTTCCAAGGTAAGACGCCAACAACTATATATATATATATATATATATATATATATATATATGAAATTGTATGATTAAAGTTTGAAAATAAAAGGGAAGATGCACCATGAAATGGTTGGTCATGTAATTAAAAAGAATATAAATAATCCATATTTATTATAACGATTTCTGTTTTATTTTTCTAGATACAAAGAGATTCTTTTCATCCTCATCCGCTGATACTAGATAAATCAAAAACAAAATTTGTGTGTGATGGATGTGAAGTGCTATGCCTTGGTTCATCTTACAGATGTAAAATCTGTTCGTTCAACCTTGACCGTAGATGTGCTACTCCAAACGATGAAACCCAACAAGTAAATAAAACCAAAACCACAATCACACATTTCAGTCACTCCCATCAACTTACACGATGCAAGATTAATATTTTGCATGTTGACCCAAAGCTTGTGGAAACTTGCAAGGCATGCAGGCAACGCCTTTTCGGTATAATATATGCTTGCCTTCCTTGTGAATTCTTTCTGCATGAACCTTGCCTCAAGAATATGTTAGAGGAAGTCCAGAGTTCATTCCACCCACAGCATCCTCTTCGAACATTTGCACGTATGAGAAATGAAACGCGTGGCGCCTGCAGTAAGAAAACTAATGGCCTAGTGTTCCGTTGTTTAACATGTGATTTCAACATGCATTATTCATGCGCAACATATTAGTTCGTGAGGTAAAACATGGTTGACATGCCGGTCACTCTTCTATATTTGGGGAAAGGCTTTTTAGGTGATGAGTCACCCCAATGTAATGCATGTGGTCAAGCTTGTGAAAACACTTTGTGGGGCTGTCTTGAGTGTAGGTTTTACATTCATCTTGAATGTATTTCACTCTCATCTATCGTCAAATACAAACGTTTGCATCTACTTGTACTCACAACTTTGATTGAAAATGATTCTGAAAACTATTACTGTGATACATGTGAAACACAAAGAAATCCGGAGCATGACATTTATCACTACGAAGAATGCAATTACATTTCCCATATTAAATTCATAATTTCAGAGGTAAATATCAATCGTTACATCAATCTTATAGTTAAAAATGCTTGTTTTCTAGTTATTTGATGAAAACCAAATGTTATATTTGTTGTTATTTAGGTTGAACCTCCGGAACATATACTTGAATATCTAAGTCCCTGTCTAAAAGGCAAAATTTAAGAAGATGGCCTCAATGAAAACAAATCTTTGCAGGTAAGCACATATCTGATCTGATACCTTTGTTCTCATTTATTTTGAACTTAAACTTTTCTTAATCTGAGAATATTTTCTTTTTGATTGATTTCAAGAGACTAAAGAAACTTGTATTCGTTTGATATTGGTGACAATTTTAACATTCATCGAAGTCCCTTCAGACTATCTGTCACTACAACCATCATCAATACGAACAAATAAGGGCAATTTGTTTGAAAAGATGGATCAACTGCAAAGATGAATTATTGGGATGAGAAAACTTACACAAATGAATTAATTCATTCATGGAATGGAAGATGTATGTATGTAAATATAAGTTAAAACTTGAAGGAGATTCATAATAATGATTTAACTTCATAAATAATGTGTTAATTTATTACATCTTGTCAAATGTTAGTGTAATTACACATAAATGTGGATCTAAAGATCGATCTAATGTTTCAAGAACTGCTGGTTTATCTGTCTTAACAACATCTCCGGGAGAAAAGCCGTGTTTGTCCATAAAAGAAAATTTATCGGATGTGAAGTCTAACAATGCTGCTAATTCACGGTTCTGCATCGTTTCAGAACCGGGAAACCGGACTCATTATCGTTCTTCTCTACACGGAGAGACGATTCTGTTTCCGGTGCTTTTTTCATTTTTACTGTTAGCATTTCCTGGATCAATCCCAGTTGTTGAGTGATCTTGCTCTAAAGCTTTTGAATCTGATTTATCATTGTTGCAAGGCGGATGATTTGAGCATGGTACTGGTGTGGGAGCGTCATCCAAGGAAGAAGAGGGCGCTACACCTTTTTTGTTTTCGACCTTTTTTTGTTTCTCGAACATCATTTGCAGATACCTTCCTTGTTCTTCAATTCGAAGCTGCAAATTTCTCTGAATCTGGAGAAATAATGTAGCCCGCGTTAGAAAATATACGTGCATACAAGTGCATAACTCTGCATGGATACAAGTAGCTAATTATAGAAAAGCTCGGAGCCCGTAACGTTTGGATCTGGGAACAGAAGTTATTATATAAATAGCAAGAAGCCATAGCTGTGCCTTGAGTTAGCCTGCATAATTTGTTACTGAAACGAATTAATGCTTAGTTACCAGTAGCATACCTCAAGTTGTTCATGGAGCTGCTTCTGGACTTCCATCTGCATCCGAAGTGCTTTGGTAATTCCTATACTCCTGTTACAAAAAAATAACAAGGTCAAAATCATATAGATGTTATCGATCCTGGAAGCTAAAATGATATTCTATTTTCAGTTCTCGTTGGAGTTTCGGACGAAAGAAAGGATCGAGTTTGATTTCCATTCTAAATGTCATATTTCGCCATATAAATAAAGAGGCAACCAAGCTACCAATGCAATGGATGATGGCCCAAATAAGCTCTGAAGTCTTAACTGTAACACTACATGAGATTATAACAACATATATATTCCGATTAATCTGTAAATTGTTTTTAGAAGAAAGTTGAAAAGAAAAATGGTTTGATCAGTTACAGGTGCATGTATTGTAAGTTGTAGTTTGATTTCAAATGATGGCTGTTTTTAATGACGAGAATGAGATAGCTAAGCGTGCTGAGGAGGAGTATCGCCCAATTCACCATTTCTGCCACCCTCATCAACTCAAACGCTGCTTGTATTCTTTCACGACCCAGCCGGAGAAAGAAATGTGGGAGGGAATACCATTGAAGTGTGTGGCATGCAATCAGGAGCTCCTATTGACTCAATCTTATATGTATCTCTGCCTTCCTTGTGAATTTTCTCATCCATGAATCATGTATGAATGAGATGCTGAGGCATGTTGAGAAGAGCCCCTTTCAACCCCACCATATTCTTCTCCCTCGACTATTCCCTTTGATTACAGATACATGAAGGCAAGTTCGATGTTATGTTTGTAGGGAAAAATAGAAGATTTCAGCTTATACTGCAATGAATGCGATGTTAACTTGCACGCTTCATGTGCAAACTACCCAACTCGTGCTATAAAGCATGGTTGTCATCCTCACAATCTTCTTCAACTCGGGAAAAGCATTATCCACAACATATCTTGTAATGTTTGTGGTGAAGGTTGCAATGACTCTTGCTTCAGCTGCAAAAAGTGTGATTTCAATGTACATCCTCAATGTATTCCACTTCCGCCAAGTTTTAAGCATAAGCGTCACTTGCATCCACTTACGCTTGTAAGTCCATTTGTTGAAGATGACTCGGGAGATTATTGTTGCGATATGTGCGAGACCGAAAGAAATCCAGACCTTCAAGTTTATTACTGTGAAGAATGCAATTATATTGTTCATATTAACTGTGTCCTTTCTGAGGTAAGACACCAACAACTGAAATGGTACGATATTTTGTTTTTGTTTTTTATGAAATTGTATGATTAAAGTTAAAGTTGCCCTTTTCTTCTTTGGCTATTTCATTTATGTATGAAACTAAACCTATGTGTTTAGGTACTTGAGCCTACAACAAAGATGCTTTTTGATCCTCAAGGAAAGGAAGAGAATTCTAGCCATCAAAAATTTGGAAATGAAAGGGAAGATGCACCATGAAATGGTTAGTAATGTAATTAAAAAGAATATAAATTATTCATATTTATTATAAAAATTTATGTTTTAATTTTTTAGATACAAAAAGATTCTTTTCATCTTCATCCGGTGATACTAGATGAATCAAAAACAAAATTTATGTGTGATGGATGTGAAGAGCTATGCATTGTTTCATCTTATACTTGTAAACTTTGTTCATTCAATCTTGACCTCAAATGTGCTACTTTAAATGATGAAGCCCAACAAGTATATAAAACCAAAGCCACAATCACACATTTCAGTCACTACCATCAATTTAGACGATGCAATATTAATATTTTGCATGTTGACCCAAAGATTCAGGAGACTTGCAAGGCATGCAGACGACACCTTTTCGGTATAATATACGCTTGCCTTCGTTGTGAATTCTTTCTGCATAAATCTTGCCTCAAGGATATGTTGGAGGAAGTTCAGAGTTCGTTTCACCCACAACATCCTCTTCAAATATTTTTACTTGTAAACACTACAACACCTATAAGTGGCGCTTGCAGTGAGAAAATTAAACACCTGGTGTTCAGTTGTTTAGCATGCGATTTCAACATGCACTATTCTTGCGCAACATACCAGTTTCGTGAGGTGAAGCAAGATTATCGTGCTGATCATCGTCTTCTACATTGGGGAAGGGCTTTTTGGGTGATGAATCTCCCTGATGTAATGAATGTGGTCAAGCTTGCGAGAACACTTTGTGGGGTTGCTTTGAGTGTAGGTTTTACATTCATCTTGACTGTAGTTCACTCCCATCCGTCGTCAAACATAAACATCAGCATCCACTTGTACTTTCGACTTTGACTGAAGATGATTCTGGAAACTATTACTTTGATATATGTAAAGAAATCCGGAGCATGACGTTTATCAATGTAAAGAATGCAATTACATTTCTTATATTGAATGCATATTTTCAGAGGTAAATATCAATCATTACATCAGTCTTATAGTTAAAAATGCATGTTTTTCTAGCTATTTGGTGAAGACCTAATATTACGTTTGTTGTTTTTTAAGTTGAACCCCTGGAACAGATACTTGAATATCTAATCTAAGTATCCGCCCAAAGGGCAAAATTTAAGAAGACGGTCTCATTGAAAACAAATCTTTACAGGTAAGCGCATATCTGATCCGATACTATTGTCATCATTTAATTTGAACCTAAACTTCTCTTAGTCTGGAACTATTTTCTTTTTGATTGATTCCAAGACACTAACGAAACTTCATTTGATATTGGTGACAATTTTAACATTTATCGAAGTCCCTTCAAGCTATCTGCCACTGCAACCACCATCGATACGAACAAATAAAGGCAACTTGTTTGAAAAGATGGATCAGCTGCAGAGATGAATTATTGGGATGAAAAAACTTTCATAAATAATGGAATGGAAGATTTATGTATGTAAATATCAGCTTTTCTTAAAGTTTGAAAACTTGAAGGAGATTCATAATAATGAATTAACTTCATAAATAATGTACTAAGTTATGCATAAGTTGTTGTAAACTTACTCAACTTTCCTTACTATCATGCTCATGTGTGGCAAAGAACTATTTACATGGAATTCTAAGACTTTTCTATGATTCTGTCAGACATGAAATAATTTATTACATCTTGTCAAATGTTAGTGCAATTACACATAAATGTGGATCTAAAAATCTAATGTTTCAAGAACTGCTGGTTTGTCTTAACAACTCCGGGAGCACAGCTATGTTTGTTTACAAAAGATTATTTATCGGATGTGAAGTCTAACAATGCTGCTAATGCTCGGTTCTGGCTCGTTTCAAAACCGGGAAACCGGACTCGTCATCGTTCTTCTCTACATGGACAGTCAGTTCTGTTTCCGATGCCTTCGAGCTTTTTCCATTTCTATGACTAGCATTTCCTGGATCAATCCCAGTTCTTGAGTGATCTTGCTCTAAAGCTTCTGAATCTGATTTATCATTGTTGGAAGGCGGATGATTTGAGCCTGATAATGGTGCCGGAGTGTCATCCAAGGCAGAAGAGGACGACGCACCTTTTTCATTTTCGACCTTTTTTTGTTTCTCGAACATCATTTGCAGGTACCTTCCCTGTTCCTCGATTCGCAGCTGCAAATTTCTCTGAATCTGGAGAAAAAATGTAGGCCGCATTAGAAAATATACGTGCATTCATATAAGCTCGTAACCCTGCATGGATGCAACTTGTACTCTCTGCAGCAACTCAACCAGAAAGGATTCAACGTGACTTATTTCAAAAATTAAAAATGGGACATGTTCCGAAAAGAAACTAATTATAGAAAAGCTCCGATCCCGAAACGTTGGGAGCTGGGAACAGAAGTTATTATATAAGCAAGAAGCCAGCGCTGTGCCTCGAGCTAGCCTGCATAATTTGCTACTGAAACAAATTAATGCTTAATTACCAGTAGCATACCTCAAGTTGTTCATGGAGCTGCTTCTGGACTTCCATCTGCATCCGAAGTGCTTCGGTAATTCCTATACTCCTGTTACCAAAAATAACAAGGCCAAAATCATATGGATGTTCTCGATCCTGGAAGCTAAAATGATATTCTATTTTCAGTTCTCGTTGGAGTTTTGGTCGAAAGAAAGGTTATAGTTTGACTTCCATTCTAAATGTCATACGTCGAGATATAAATTAGACGCAACCAAGCTACCAACCAAATGGATGATGGACCGAATAAGCTTTTAAGTCTTAACTATAACACTACATGAGATTATACAACATATTCTGATTAATTTGCAAATTATTTTTAGAAAAAAATTCAAAAGAAAAATGGTAGATAAACTTCACCCCAAGATTCCGGAAACAGAAGGTTACTTACATCTTCAAGTCTATTGATTTCATTTCTTCAATTGAAGTAACTTTTCTTTCTGATGTTCCTGCAATGAGAAGCAAATAATACATATTAACCGGTTTCCTCGTGTGCTATGTGCTATTGCTTGCGCATTGAAAATGGAAAGAGATACGAAGAAGCAACGGTATTATGAAAATAATGTGCAATTAGTTGCTTATTGTCTTACCTTCTGATGATTCTGGCATGTATCTGGCGGTTCTATATTTCTAGATTCCGAAAAAGAAAATGTTCCAGTAAACGTATAAGATTGTCTGAGAAGGTAGTTAAAAGGATCAATAAAACGAGATTACGTTCAGACCTGCAGATGACTTTTAACATGATATATTGTCAAGCCTTCTACATTCATTAGCTTTAAGATGCCTTTTGGAGTAGCTCCTGTAAGTTTAAATTATACATCAAGATTAGCAAAAGATGCAAATAGATTATTTCCTACATGCTAATGAGATGAAGATACATACGTTCGCTGCCACCCAGTTGATCAACAGCTTCGAGAAAAGCCTCATGAAGCTCAGGTGTCCAGCGCATACGGGGCTTTGCTGGAGGAGCAGTGGATGATGGGTAAGCATTGCTCGAAAATTCTCCATGTGGTGCAGGTTGATTCTGATGAAACTGAGGCAGTTGCTTCGACACCTGATACATTTTTTTTATTTTTCTCATAAAACCGACAAATTAAAAAGAAAACGCAAAAAGGTACAGGTCACTAGATCATTCATCTTGATATTCTAATAAGAAAAAATATCAAACAAAGCTGCTGATGGCACATCAATAATTTAGGTAGAAAATCGTATATGCGTAATGTTAACGGTTATAAATTAGTTTGACACTACAGCAACAGAGGCAAAATCGTATCCGGTTGAGTGACGTAAAACAAGTAAATTCCAAGGAAAAAAACCGAGGCTCTATGAAAGAATTTTAAGAATGAACATCATAAGTTGCCCGAGACATTTCTGCACCAACTGCATCTACTAAAATTTAGGAACAAACCTTCAGTTTGGGGTCTGAGACATTGGTATCATCGAGAATCTTACTCCAGTCAGGATCCGGAACATTGATAAAATCATCCCCCCATTCGTGCCAATCAGTTTTCTTGTGGTCCTCAGATGCGATGACACCAGCGCCGATTTCCACCAGCCGATTTGGAGCAGGAACAGCATTTTCAGGCAAATCAAGAAATTTTTTTAGCTGGTCTAAAGTCCATGAAACATCCTTATTTCCCTGTGTGTGATTAAGCGGAGCTGTGGACTGCAGAAAAGAAGAATCGACTGGTGGCAAAGATGCTAAACCCCTTGATGACTGTGAAATGAATGGGGGATTTTGAGAACATTGAACATGTGCTAGAGCCGAGGCATGCATATCACTGGTAGCTATGGAAGGGGATGAAGATTCTTCAAGTGATACGCTGTTCTTCATCACCTCCCTTCCCGAGGAAACCTGAAAAGAACTCGACAATTCGGTGTACTTGTCGATGAAAGGAGAAGTAGGAGCTAGAAAAGGCGAAGACATAGCAGCAGAGACCTATGTTCCTGATTGTCAACTGTTTTATATCTAAATATCAACAACCTGAATATAAAACCATGATGCCTGTTAATGCCATATATGAAGACATTCAATAATCTTTGATTTAATAGCTCAAAACTTATTTTGCAGATATATTCATGAAATAAATTGTTGGCTATAATTAAGAAGGCAAAACAAATGAGATTTATCCTAAGGTTAATACCATTCTAAATTCTTTGAGATTTATTTCAACTACTTATGAATTGAAGTTACTATCGAATAAGAAATCCAAAGAAGTTCGAAAGGGCAAAAGAAGTTGCACTCAACACCCTATTTCCCGGTTTGTGTCCTATGGAAACTTATCTAAGGGGTTGTTTGTTTGCCTCTTAATGGAACCATTCAGCGCTGAATGTTGAACCGTTCAGCATTCAGCGCGTTTGTTTCGCACCTCTGAATGATTCAGCAAAACAGTGCTGAATGATTCAGCACAGAAGCACATTCTGAATGATTCAGAGTCATTATCAAACAGCATGTCACATTCAGAGCTAATTCATAAAGAGCCTCTGAATCATTCAGCATTTGAGTCATTCAGCGCTTAATCATTCTGAAGTAAACAAATAGCCCCCAAGTCTTATAAAGCTTTTGTGTCTAATGTTGGCTCTATAGAAACACCAAAAAATATAAAAGAGGCTTTTAAATCTGCTGAGTGGAGGAAAGCTGTGATGAAAGAAATGAAGGCACTCAAGGCAAATGTTGGGAAGTCTTGAATCTACCTAGTGGGAAAAAGACAATAGGATGCAAATGGATCTTCATTACAAAGTTTAAACCTGATGGCAATATTGACCGATACAAGGCTCGGCTCATTGCTAAGGGTTTCACCCCAAACCTATGGCCTAGACTACGACAAGACTTTCGCACCAATTGCCAAGCTAAACACCATTCGAGTTCTCCTATCCCTAGTTGTCAACATGGACTGACCTTTGACTCAATTGGATGTAAAAAATACATTACTCAGTGGAGAGTTAAATGAGGAAGTATGCATGGATTTCCCACCCGGGTTTAAAGAAAGCAAGGGCCAAGATGCAAGTTGAAGAAGTCCTTATATAGGCTGAAGCAGTCTCCAAGGGTGTGGTTCAGCCGATTTGCCAAAGCTATGATCAGTAGGAGCTACACATAGGGGTAGGCAGACCATACCATGTTTTACAAGCATTCGGAATGTAGGAAATGTTGTATCCTCGTTGTTTATGCGGATGATATCATATTAACAGGGGATGATTCAAGTACAATTGAAAGTCAAAGAATTTCTTAGTGCTGAATTCGAACTTAAGGACTTGGGTACCTTAAGTACTTCCTTGAAATGGAAGTAGCATGGTCTAAAACAAGTATTTCCATCTTCCAAAAAAAGTATATTCTTAATCTATTATCTGAAGTTGGGTTGTTGGGGTGTAAACCAGCCGAAACTCCTATCTATTATCTGAAATTAATCATAAATTAGGAACTAATAGAGATAGAGAAGAAGTCGACAGGGGAGATATCAATGACTGGTAGGAAGACTCATCTACCTATCTCACAGCCGTCCAGACATAGCCTTTGGTGTGAGTGTTATCAACCAGTACATGCATGCCCCAAGAGAGAAGCACTTGGAAGCTGCTTACATAATTTTAAAGTATCTAAAGGGGACCCTTGGTAAAGGCCTACACTTCAAGAAAACTGCCAACCGAAGTGTGGAAATTTACACTGACACAGACTGGGCAGGGTCTGTTAATGACAGACGTTCTACAAGTGGTTACTGTAGCTATGTGTGGGGCAATCTTATGACGTGGAGAAGCAAAAAGCAGTTTGTTGTAGCAAGCAACAGTACAGAGGCAAAGTATCGAGCACTATCCCATGGCATATGCGAAGGAATTTGGATACAACGACTAATGGGAGAGCTAAAAGTGCTCTACACTAGACCTATAAAGATGTATTGTGACAACCAAGCAGCTGTCAACATAGCTCATAACCCTGTTCACCACGATCGCACCAAAAATTTAGAAATAGATCGCCACTTCATCAAGGAAAGAATTAACTTAGGAGAAGTGTGCATCACTTACCTACCTACCAGACAACAAGTTGCAGACTTGCTAACTAAAAGCTTAAGTAGAAACATATTCGAGGAGCTCATCGGCAAGTTGGGTTTGATAAATATCTACACTCCAGCTTGAGGGGGAGTGTTAGAATTCCTAAGATTAAGGAAATAATACTTACCTTAGTTCTAAGAGGTACCTTGCATAGTAAGATCTAATCTTAGTCTCTAATTCTTAGGAAATTATTGATTTTTAGGGATTATTTCTTCATTCGTACTTAGTTCTCCTTATAAAGACTGTAAATTAATTAATAAATAGTAACAATCTTCTTTTTAAGTTTGTTCAGATATATCTAAAAATGGAAGAATCACAGAAAAAAATAAAATTTGACCAACTAATTGATATCTCTAAAATTGAAAGCAACAACATCCTCAACAAGAAAATACAATGATTTTTAACAATTGAATTCATTTCAAGATCAATTCAAACAACAATCACTCAAAATACCTCTATGAAAGTCAGGGTCGTGCTATACTTAAAGTTAGGGGGAGCTTATAAAATTTTATGGAACAAAAACAGATTATTGATAGAAAAAATAAAGAAAATACTTAAATTATATGATAATTTGAAATTTTAGCGAGGTCACCAATATCATTAAGCTCTCTTCAACCTAAACTGAGTAACAAGAAAACCACAAGTAAAATCATATAAACACCATCACCTTTCACTCATGGCTTTTCCCATCAATAAAACGATAAACAAAAACTGAAAATCGATTCATGAAGCAAATGGCCGATAGCACAAAATAAACCATAATGACCCAACAACCCAACAAAACCAGAAGGACTACCTGGTAGCAATCAAGAGCAGAAAAAACCCATTTCACAGCTAAGAAAAATCAAAATTCAAATAAAGAAGCAGTTTAAAGGATTGGGTATCAAAGATTAATCTCAGTTATGGACTTATGGTCAACAAATACAAGTAAATTAAAAAAAAATCAAAAGAGAAGTATCAAAGAATCTTACTTGGAAATGGGGTTGAAAACTCAAGAATGAATGAATCAGTGAGAAGTTGATGATTGGATGAGAAAAGCCAACGTTTTGGAAACCCAAAAGCCGAATTAGCACAACAGAGAAAATATTCTTTATCGATTGAGCACACGTGGACGTGGTGGCTTTGGTTTTGTTTTCTTCTCCGTTTCTACAAAGACAAGAATTTTAGTACTAGTAGGAAAAGTACTCCCATGTTTTTCTTTTGTCTTCTATTTGTTTGGGAAAAGCACATATGCGCCCCCTTAGTTTTCACTTCTTTTACAAATGAAACCTTATAATTCAATTTATTATTCAAATTTCATTCTCATTACCGTAGTTGAGTAAAACTCGACTTGATATAATTAAATTTTCTGACTCGATTTGACGTTAAAACACTTGAATTGATTTGATTCATAATTTTATAAATTCGTTTCGAATCCAAAAAAAGTTTAAGTTATAAAACATTACTCAAATAACTCAATTTTTAGTAACTAATGGATTTGTTTTCAATTTCAAGTAAAGTCCCTCAATTTTAAATGATATATGTATATCAAAGATGAATACAATATGAAGAAATATATATGTATATCGTATATGGTTATAGAAAGGTATTTAAATTGGAATCAATCAATAGCATAACATTATATTTATATTCATAATTAAATTTAAACAAAAACTAGAATAACTCAACTCGAATTTTATAAACTTGAAATTTTTTGAATTGACTCAATTGAATACTCACCCCCTATTCGTTACAATCTTAAGCTTCAAACCATAACTAAAAAAAGATAAAAATATATTTCTTTATGAATATACAAACTAAACTATTATTATGATTTTGTTGGGTGAATCTCTATTGCAACCTTTATGACAAAGGAGCCGGAATTCTTTTATTTGTAAGAAGAATAAAATCAAAGGGTTTTAAGCATAATTGATCATGTTAATTTTTGGTTGGCTTGTGATTTGTTTGTAGGAGTAATCACTCTACTGCTCTTCTGTTGATTCCTTTTATTGCCTGATTTTCATTGTTGCTTTGATGGTCTTCCATTGATTCATCTATTGCTGCAATTTCTTCCATCTGATTGAAAATCATAGATTTTGGCATTCAGTTCGTTGACTATTTGCTCAGTACCATATTTCCATTGTTTTCCATTAATTCAAATGAATTGGGGTTTCTTCAACATGTATATGGTTGGTTCATCAAGGAGAGGACAATCTGCCAGCTCAATTATGCAGGAATTTCTTTGGTTGCTCTGGTGTTGTTTCCTCTTTGGGTGCTTTTCTTTCAGTCAAAAGATAAAGACCTAAACACCTACGTATCTTTAGCCACAAGCATTCGAGTAGTTTATGGTTTATGAACTTGAAGGCATGCACTCAACCTTAATTAGATATGATGGTTAAAATAAAAAGTTCAAAGAGAAACTTTACCTGGTACAACATATCCGTAGGTACCAACGAGCATTGTTTGATTGGATGAATCGGGATCGAGGGGTATAGCGGTGCGGAAATCTGAGACTTGAACCTCAAAATGGGTTCAATAAAACGTTGTTGCTTGATATGTCTCGATGAACTATTAATGGGTGGCAATCATGATGCAGATAACATTAACCGCATGCTGCATCTTTGATTACTTTAAAAGATAGAAAATTATGGCTTAGATTAAGAATACGTAGACAAAGAGTACTAAAACAATAAGGTGGCGTTTGGTTGAATGGAATCCCTTGGAATTGGTGGGAATTGGAATCCAATCCCACAACTTTCTCATGTTTGGTTCAAGTTTTTCAAGGGAACTAGAATCCCTGATGGAATTCAATTCCATCAAATGAGGGAAAGTGAATTTCATCCAAAAATTGATGAAATTCAATTCCCTTGTTGGAGGGAATTGAAATTTGACCATACTACCATCATCAATCCTTTGGTAACTTATTCATATATTGAATAAAAATATTTTTTTATTATTTCGGGTCGGGTCGGGTTCGGGTTTAGGGTGAAAAAAACCGGACCGACCCGAAAATATATATAATTCAGGTCGGGTAGAATTAAGTCACTGTTTTTATTAAATAAAAATATTTTTTTATTATTTCGGGTCGGGTTGGATTTCTAATTCATATATTCGGGTCGGGTCGGATGAAACTTTATTTTGTTCGGGTCGGGTTTTTTTAGTGTGATATTCGGGTCGGGGTTTTTTAAGTGTGATATTCAGGTCGGGTTCGGGTTTAGGGTGAAAAAAATTGGACCGACCCGAAAATATATATAATTCGGGTCGGGTCAGATTAAGTCACTGTTTTTATTAAATAACAATAATTTTTATTATTTCGGGTCGGGTCGAGTCGGATTTCTAATTCATATATCCGGGTCGGGTCGGATGAAACTTTATTTTGTTCGGGTCGAGTTTTTTAAGTGTGACATTCGGGTCGAGTCGGGTGGGGTTCGGGTGAAAAAAACCGGACCGACCCGAAAAAAATATATAATTTTACCTTATATATTTAGGAATAATTACAATAATACCCCTCTATATATAATTTTTTTCAATTAAGTCAATGTTTTTATTGAATAAAAATATTTTTTTTTATTATTTTGAGTCGTGTCGGGTCGAGTTTCTAATTCATATATTGAATAAAAATAGTTTTTAGTATATTTTTTGGTAACTAATTAACATACTCCGATTGGAATGTATCGAATTATTGCTCTATCTTTTGGTAACTTATTAACATATTTTGATTGCGATGATTTTAATTTATAATATATTACTACATGTAAATTGTAAAATAAACTAAAATAAAGCAAAAAAAACAAGAATGTCAATTCTGTCATTTTACATTACTGAAATCAAATTCATCTGATATGTCTGCGAACCAAACAGAATATGGAATTGGATTCTAATTCCATTTCCTGCCAACCAAATAGAATATGGAATTGGATTCTAATTTCTACAGATTTCAATTCTTCACAGATTCCAATTCTCTCATAAACATTCCAGCGAACCAAACGCCACCTAAAAGAATCGAAGGGGAATGCTTCCATTTATACGATTCTTACTCAAATCAAGTTGTTGTAAAATTGAGCAATCTCCTATTCGAGGTGGAACAGGTCCAATCAATTTGTTGTTCGACAAGTCAAGGTACCTAAAAGCTTTGAAATTCCCCAGTTCTAGTGGTAAGGGACTTTGTAAAATATTTGAATCAAGGTACCTTGTAGAAGATTTGAATCGAGGTACAAATAGTTGAAACGAGATAAAGTAGATATTGAGGAAGGGATGAAACAACTGAGGCTATTGTAAGCAAGAGAAATTCAATTTCTCCGGTTTACTTCTCCACATATAATGGTGATCAATGCGGATGACCCTTCCGATTTCATTGCATGAAAAAACGGCGGACATGATTGAACCGGAAGCCAGAGTTAAACGGAGCCAACCACAACACCGATTAAAGTCAAACATCGTGAGAATACTATCTATGAACGCAGGTTGCCTATCCAAATTCAATTCGAATATCTAAAACAGAGAAGAAACTCCAAAGAGATGGGTCAAAAGCAACTGATTTAGAAGAACCAGAAATCAGTAAGTTGAATTTGCTTCGTGGAAAGCTAGTTTATTTGTTTTTAAAATCGCTTGATGAAAAATCTAGTCAATCTTCTTTCGTCGAATCGTCGAAATTATACGGTGTAGATGATGTTAAGAACGAGATAATTAATGTACTTTAGGGTGAAAGTGAAAATGTTAAAGACGAGATTGAAACAATCTCTGTTCTAGCCACGAAGGAATGGGAAAGACATCTTGTTCGTTGCATTTGTAATGATGACAGAGTTTCGGCGTACTTTGATAACATAATTTGGGTGAATGTTTCGGGTGTTTTCGGTCTAAAAAAAGTTGCAATAACAATCCTGCAGTCTCTTAATGCTTGGAACATAAAATAATCTCAGTGCAGTGTCTTCTGCTAATAATTCATGGGGAAATTCTTAACAAGAAGGGAGTTTTTCGAATACTATCTTATAATCACATCAAATTAATGAAAAGAATAATTATAATTAATTAGGAACCCTTTAATGGTTTCAATAGTAAAAAGAATTACGTTATATATATTTTATATGATAATTTTTTTTAAAAACAAATACTTTTGTTTATATATCTCAATCTCTTACAGGACAGATCAACTAGGAGGCCTTGGTGTTGGTAGTTTTAAGGGCGGCGAGGAAAATGCTTGGTTTTAATTTTCACGGTTAATATGTTGAAGATTGTTATCTTAGTGGTTATACTAAGAAACAATCATTGGTAGAAAAAATAGTAAATTATTTGTTAAATATCTCACTTATTTTCGTGTTTTTATTTGTCATTCAATTATTTTTTTTACAAAATCATATATTATATTTTATGTGTATTTTGATCACCGACACTTAATCTTGACCTTTTGACATAATAAAAGAAGTGATTTGAATGGTATAATTATAGTTTTAATCCACATGATTTACATGTTACTAGTTTAGTTCTAATTTAAATATAATTCAATGATTTTAATCATCTAACGTGTTACCATTTTATTTAAAAATACTAGGAAGTATCATAAAAGAAGAGGGACTTGAACCTAGGAATAAGAAGGCAAGGGTGCAACATTTGTAAATGTAGATCATGGGATGGAGCGATTAAAAAATTTATTGAATTATTTTTTTAATAGGAGCAAATAAATTTATTATTTCCTCTCTACTTGACATATTAGCTTACCTTTATTCTCATTTGATTTATAAATTTCTTTTTAATAATCGAAAATGATTAAAAGATATATTACTTTTTTAGGATTTTGACGTACACATTCTCTAGATACAACTGCTCAAACATAGAACCTCAAAAGAAAACAATACTCCCTCTAACCATTTAATGGATTCATTGATACATAAACTATTGAAATCTATTTATAGGCTTGAATAGCTATAACTATCACTATCATTTATTATTTGAATTATTTAATAATTACTTTAAATTATTGTTTTGACAAATAATTTGTATTATTGTCATGTAAATCATCTTGCATTATTGATTAATCAACTTCCATTATCACCTTGTATTATTGACATTAATTGAGTTAGATATTCTGCTCTTAAAACTCAAACTTTCATACTTTGAGATTGAATCTTAAATGTCTATATGGATGATAGCTCGTCCAAACTCGGTTTCTTATCGCATTTTCGTGAATGATTCTCTTTACGGGGTTAATTTTATGACACGAGGACCATAGCAAGGAAGCCTATCGACAACAACGATGCATGTTAGTGTTGTGTTTGTGTATCGTACTGGAAGGTGAAAACTCTGTCGACAACGAAGGAAATTTTAAACTGCTAACCATTTTATTTCGGACCGACGCGCTGGATTTTGGAACGCAGTCATAGTTTCACAGACATGATTAGGTCGATTATGTTATGTTGTGATAAATGCATGTTCCCTGTTTACTGCAATTAACAATGGTCTTTCTAGTACACCATCTGTGTTGGTTTTTTACCTTATGAAACATAGTGGAAGAAAGAGGCATATCCCAAAATCGGAGGACGGAAACTAGCATTAGTAGTTTAGTCTAAATGCATGTCCTACAGGATGGATCTGACTCTAAACTTGTCGTCGCCTTTTAGGGATGGAGCCAATATGTGACGACTGGGAAGGGCTTTTCACGCTATACCAGGATATCTCGGGAACAAATACCATGCTATCAGATTGATTGTGAGTCTCTTTAGGCCAATACAGCCCAGAGGCTGTAGGAGGTGAAGGCATTTGTGGCACTGCCCAATACGAATCCGGCACCTGATCCATGCACTCATCATCAAAGACATTTTCCTCAGTAGAACGCAAGATCGCTGAGCTGTCGGAGTCTCCAAGCTTGCCACTATCAGCCTGTCAGAATTCAGCAAAAGTAGTCCAGAAATTTTAGCTGCATTAGGCTTACCTTTTAAACGATATAAAGCACTACTAGCGTAATAGAAGACACAAGAGCTCAGTGAACAGCTCGATTAACAAACTAAGCCAACATGTACTTTTCCCCCCTTCAACTTTAAATTATCTTAATGTTCTGCCGAAAACATGTATAATATCGTAATAAGTTCAATGATTTCTAGCACACTAGATATTTTCAGTGTTTATACGTGACCGATGAAGGATGGGGAACAAGAAAGTAGTGTCTATGTTGAGAATGGAAGGCATCCTAACAACTTCTCGAGCCAGTTTCCCCTCTCTCACATCATGCTTCATGCTGCAACTTAATAGTGTAGAAAATACAAAATACAAAAATTTGCTGTAAACTATTGATCAAGTTGAATGGTCCTTTCCGTATCTAAAGATCCAAATTGCTAAGAACCATAGAAAGCACCCACCAAACAATAGGAGTCAAGTCGGAACTAATTAACTTGCTATTGAAGAACAGAGTAAAATAGTTGTTGTCTAACCATTAGATTATAACTCAGATATTCATTGGTGCCCCCCTACCAACTAAATTTACTTCGGTAAGTTCCAATATAGCAGCTGCACTCATGCAAGCATTTTTTTCACTCGCTCATCCCGACAGGGTGTGCATACGTGAGAGAGAATGAGGTGAGTGAAAATGGATTACTGGATTACCATCCTATAAAAGTTTCTTTGCACAATGCAAGTAAACACAAATGACCTGTAGAAAGACATAACACGAAGAACATAGATGGCCTCCACCCTACATAAGAACAACATTAAATATAGTACCATAACCGAGACTACAAGCATACCTTAGATAACTCAGGATCCATGTAACCAATGCTTTGATTAAAGTCGGTTAGCCCAACTAAATCATCGATTTGCCATGGTTGAATGATTCCAGCTGTAGAACCCCCACCATACGACACTTTCATAGGCACACTGCTCTCGACTCCAACAGTTGATGGAAGAACCTCATTGTATTTGCTCGTAAAAGTCATAGGAGCCCCAATTTTAGCTGTAGAATTGGATTTAGTTTCTGTGATATTTCCATTACAAGGTGATTTGACATTGGAAGAAGATCCAACAGGATCAGTTGTTGTTTCGAGACCAACTTTTACACCGGTAAGCACAAATCTCTGGTGACCAGACACATACGGATTTGCTGTATGTATAGCAATATCACATTTTCTGCAGAGTAAAGCTCGATCTTGCAAGCAGAAGAAAAACCCAGAAGTTTCCTGTCAGATAGATGTTTGATTTCATCAATATTAATTGATCATTATACTACAAAACTACAAAAAAATTCCTTAATTTAATTTCTAATTCCTATCAGTATACTAGTACTACAAACTACTCATCTTTTTCCCAGATACTCCTTAGTAATTAAGCTATATCGAAATTCACTTTAAAATCCGGCCTTTAAAACAACTATAATCCAAAAAAAGAGATGATTTTGTAGGGGAAATTGAAGTACCTGGCAAATGTCACATTTAGGCATATGAGGGGAAGAAGAAGAGAGAGGAACTCGCTGATGCTTGCTGGCCAACTTGTTGGCGGCATGGACTTTCTCGTCGCACTCCAAACACAGCGCCGCCTCGTCGGAGCAGCACAGCACCTTCGCCTCCGCCGCCTCGCACACGTTGCACTGTATCTTCATCTCTCTCTCTCTCTCTATTTTATTTTATTTATTCATTATTTCCCTTAATTAAATTTTGAATTTATAGTGTGAATTGGGAACTTAGGATATTTTACTTGAAGCTATGATTTGAGAATTGCCCACGTGGCAGATTCCACTAATGAAAAAACAAGTAATTTTTGTCTTTTTTTTAAATGATCACGGACGATATTCTTAATATACTGTTAAAAAAATATGTTATCATTTTTTGTTATTATTTAAATAATAAAATCGATAAAAAGTTATTAAAAATATTATTATTTTTATCGGATTTGTTATTATGGGGCGTTTTAATAAAATCGGTAAAGCGCTATCGGTTTTGTTATTTTTTTATTGGTTTTGTTATTGTTAGGCACTTTACCAGAAATGTTAAGAAACATTGATGTTTTAAATAGAAATAATAATGTTTTAGATAATTTCACGGACGATATTCTTAATATACTGCTAAAAAAATATGTTATCATTTTTTGTTATTATTTAAATAATAAAATCGATAAAAAATTATCAAAAATATTATTATTTTTACCGGGTTTATTATTATGGGGGCGTTTTAACAAAATCGGTAAAGCGCTACCGTTTTGTTATTTTTTCTACCGGTTTTTTTATTGTTAGGCACTTTACCAGAAATGTTAAAAAACATTGATGTTTTAGGTAGAAATAATAATGTTTTAGATAATTTTTTACTAATTTTTTTTATTTAAATAATAACAAAACCGATAATATCTTTTTTAATTGTATATTGAGGGTGTCACGTAAAAAAAAATTTGCCTTACCAATACAACAACTTGGTTAAATTACTTAAATAATGATGTTGAATATAATAAAATAAATTATGATAAATTATTTAAAAAAAATATATGCTAACGTTGACAAACTAAAATAATAACTTTCACAAATTATCTCTTTCAAGTAAAATTACGGCTTCAAAGAAATTAATAATATTGTTGTTTACATTATAATTATATTTTGAAGTTTTAAAATTTTATTAAAATTATAATTGCATTCATTTAAAATAAAAAAAAATAATATGAAACTGTGTGTTGTAAAATACAATATATTGTTTTAACTTGTTAGTATTATCAGAGTTGGTGACAACTAACGAATTCATTTTAGTTATAATTTTATTTTACATCATAGGGGACAAAGTAAATTAAAATTATAGGAATAAAATGAAAATTTATGTTTTTCAATAAAATTATTCGCATCAAATTCCTATAAATTATGATATATTTATGTGTAAAAGAATTAAAATTTTAAGTTTGATGGACTAAAATAGAAAGAGGATTTAAAATTATTAAAAGAATAAAAAAAATTATAATTAAAGGTCGAAATAATATTTTTCAGAGTGAAAATTATGACAATAAATTTTGGATGCGTTTCGAAAGGTCACATGAATTTTTAAAAAGTCGCTCCAATCAAACATTTGAACATAGCACGAACCAACTTACTTAATTGGTTAAAAGAATTATTGTTGTTCTTAAGCATCAGCAACTGTAATAGGTGATTGATCGTTCAATATCTAATAGTCGAGAGTATTTAGAACATATACTACTTTATAATCACTTTAGTTTAATCCAAAAAAAATTTAACATAGAATTATGACATTTCAAAGCTTTTAACTGCATTTATATTTCAAACACCAAAAATTAATTCTTTAAAACTCACAATTTCAATAATAGGTTGGTTTCTGAACATTTTTATTTTAATTCATGTAATTTCATTTTTTTACACTTTATTTCTAAAGTAAATGACAAAAAAAATCATCCTCAACAGCTGACTACTTTACTTACTATTAAAAATGTCATCTGATATATTTTTTTAATATTAAAAATAAAAGCAAGCCATGATTTACCTACACAAACCCTAAAAAATCAATCAAAAAAGGACCCGGTCTTTTATAGGTAATTAAATTCCTTCAGGGAGTCATGGGTTCACTTTCCGACTTGAAATTGATCTAGATTCGCCATTGATCGCTTTTAAAATAGGTAGATCGGACACCTCAAACTTACTATTTATCATATCTATATTTTTATTAGAGATTTTTTGAATCCAGGAGTAAATTTTAATCGAAGAAGGATGAGCATCCCTGAATTTCCATTTTGGTACCATTCAATTATGCGACTGTATTAATTGTGAAAATTAAAATAAAAATAAAATTTAAATTCAATCCAAATTTGTCTACCTTTAATGATTATTTTGGGATTTGGAAGAATTCCTTAAAAATAAAATCGATGTTAGAAAAATAAATTTAACATATAAAAAATAAAAATAAAGAAAAAAAATTAGAACACGGTAAAATAAAAACAATAGTTAGGGCACCAATTTAATATTAAAAAAAGGATTAAATTGAAAGAAAATAGAAATTCAAGGGTAAAATTAAAATTGATGGTTGAAACGAATTATGCTTCAAACTAAGTGGGACTGCATAAATAATTTAAGAAAGTTCTATTTAAACTTTAATCCCTTGTACATAAATGCCCCTAAAGCTCCAATTCCCCTCATTTGTAACACTCACCCAAAAACAAAAAATCCCTCTCAAATATCTCTCCCAAACGAGCCTCCATCTCTGGCCATTCTCCTTCGATCGACCATCATCCGTCGTCGCTCCGACCATCACTCACGGTGGAGAAAACACCTTAAGCCACTGAAATATTGTCCTTGTTGCCCCGAACATGTACCTACACACTAAATCCCCAAAGACACAACCCACGAGCATAGATCTAAGCCTAAAGTCCTCGACTTTTTACCTTCTCCGACGATCGTTCCACTTTCCGACGATTGTCCATGTTCACAAAATTTCCTCCGACGAGAAGCTAAGTCTATCCCCTTTCTCCTTGATTTTTTTGGTAATTTTCTTTACGAGTTTCGAAGGTTTTCCCCGATTTCACCCCTGCCTCCTTTTGTTGGGATTGATTGTTGATGGGAGAATTGTTCTCCAATTTTGTTTTATTTCGATTTCCTTTCCTTGTGTTCTGCCTCTGTTACATTTTGCATGTCAGTTTAATTATTTGTTGTGATTGATATGGTTTCATTTTGGATTTATTTCCTTTTGTATTTTGGAAAAATTGGCTGAGAAAATCTTGGGTCGATTCGGTGTCGACGCGTGGTCCTCACGCGCTGTTTGGTGCTCGGTGATTGACCTTCGTTTCATCTGGGGATTAAATCTGGCTGTTGGACCTGTAAGCCTGATCCAACGGCTCCTGTGCTGTAATGCCTACTCCATAATGTTGTTAGGGTTTAGGAACCCTAGTTCTCTTGAGATCCTGGTCGTTGATCTGCTTTTTGATCCCACGACTGGGATGATGCGTCGCCTTGCTTAATCATGGAACACCTAGGGCGCTGGGTCAGGCAGCTTGGGCTTTCTTGGGAGCACGTTCTTGGTTGAGTCTTCCACTTGCTTTGGGATTATATATGGGATTTTGGGTATGACAAAATGACCTGCTGGGACAGGTGGGTCCAGTTGTTGGGTTTCACGAACCAGATTTGGACTTATAAACTTTGGACCTTGGCTGGAATTAGACCCCGAATTATTCTATGTTTAGACCACTTGGACCTAAAATAAAATAAAAATGGAAAAAGTAAATAAAAACAAAAAAACAAAAATAACAGAAACTAATATATATATATATATATTAAAAAATTATATCTTTTCAAAAAGCTATAGTATTATATATATATATATAATGATTAAAAAACTCAAAATAGAACCCCATACAAAAATTGATGTTTACATTTGTCCATCTTTGCCCATTGGCATGTTAACAGGAATAAAACAAAGATTAGAAAGACGATGACATTTTTTCTAATTTCATCTTCCGTTTTAAAAGTATGGTGTTATCTCATGTGAGATTGAAAATCATCATCGTATCTCAAGGGAGATGAAACTTGTAGCTCAAAGGAGATATTTTCAAAGAACTTGTTTCGAAAGAAACAATCATAAATGAGATGAATATCTTTAATAAAACGATATCTAGAGAGATTGTTAAAAGTTAAATTTAAAAAGAAATCTCAAGTGTGTTTAAATTTTATCAAGTGAGATAAATTTTCTATTTTCAGGAAAATTGTCTGAAACGAAATGAATTTTTTTTTCAAAAGAGACTATCTCAAGTGAGATTTTGTTTTGAGAGAAATTGTGTCAAGTGAGACAAAAATTAATCAAAATTATCTCAAGTGAGATGAAATTTATTTTGAGAAAAGTTATCTCGAGTGAGACGATAATTTTAAAGGGGAAATATTTCAAGTGATATGAAATTTTGCTTCGAGAGAAACTGTCTTGAGCGAGACGAAAAATTTCAAGGGAAAACATCTCAAGTGATATGAAATTTTGCTTCAAGAGAAACTGTCTTGAGTGAGACGAGAATTTTCAAGGGAAAGTATTTCAAGTGAGATTAAATCTTGTCTCGAGAGAGACAATTATTTTAAGAAAAATTATCTCAAGTGAGACAAAATTTATATTTCAAGGGAAATTTGTCTCATGTAAGAAATGACCTTAAGGAAGAAAAAGATTTTTTTTTGAAAAATTTTAAAGATATCCTCAAGAGAGGAAAGCTGAGATTCTTTGAAAATGTTAAATATGTCCTCGAGAGAGGAGGGGAAAATGGTTTTGAGAAAGACAAGATTTTCTTGATTGTTTTTTTATGTAACCTCATAAGATAAAAAATGATCTTAAGAAAGACAAATTAGAAAGTATTCACATCGGAGAAAGATGATCTTAAGAAACAAAAAAATTAAGAATATCCTCATTAGATGAAAATAATGAATGATGAATGTTTGATGCGAATATGTCAATGAAGTAAGTGTATGCTTTCATGAATGATAATGATGCAGAGGTGTGTGGGAAGTCTTCATTCTCAAATTCTTCTGTCTTCATCACCATTTTCACTCGAGTGAGTCAATGTAATTCTTGGCTTGCAAAAAAAAATTCTTCATGCCCCCAACAAACTCTTGCAATAGCGTTTCATTTGTTTGCCTCGATGTTGATCTTGAGCTTCCATATCCGAGAGACATTTTTCAATTTTCAAGACATATTCCCTAGAGACACTACTTGTTTAAAAATATTTTTCTTCTTTTGTTTTTCAAAATGTGAAAAAGGTTTTCTTTGGAAGAAAAATAAGATTATGCCTCTTGTTTTAAGCTCGCAATTGAAGCAAATTATAAAACACGAGTTCATTAAATATCAAAAGAATAAAATGCTTTTTCAATCTTTCAAAGTTATAGTTCTTTGAAAAGTGTCAAGACTAATGTTGAAGGTTGATTTGGGAAGGTTCTAGATTGATTTTGTTTTTCGAGGGTACATTAGTTTGGTGATCATATACACATGCTTCACGCGTTCATGTATACCTTTGAGATACCCCTTTGACCTTCAATGAGCTTGTGAAAATTGCCAGTGATTGTTTAAAATCCCTATGCGGGTGCATTCAATATTGTAGTGCTAGACATTTTAGAAATTTTTCATATTTCAGTTCTCTGAAATCTTCCGTTTGTCTAGGTTTCGTAGACATCTTTAGCATAAACAATGTACAAATATCGATCTAAAAGAAAAATTCATGAGTGCTTGTGTGTAGTCGACTATGATAGATGTTTTTTTAACTCCCTTAGTCCACATTCCATCGAAACTCATTCTTAATTCAAAATTTAGGCCTTACCGTCTTTCTTTAAAATTAAACTTCATTAAATTTAGTGTTCTTATATTTACTTTGATTTTGCTAGGAGATTCATTTCGACACAAAACGACTAGTTTCATGATATGAATGTAATTCTATTCATAAAGTTAGGACTTTCGGCATGGCCCATTACTTTAGCAGAATACCCCTCCTAATTAGAGGTTTCAAATGTCAGAAAGTATTTGACTAACTTGAATGGAACTCGTTTTATAAAGCTCGAAAGTTACCTCCATAGCTTCTTCAGACATTACCTCCGAAGATTAACAACTTGCTACTTTCAGCGTAGTGCCCCCACAATGTTAATATTAGCTTTCATTAGTATTACATTATTTCTCTGAGTTTTTGATTTCAAGATTTCTTAAGCCCTTCAAGAAGAATCTATTATAGTCCGAATGTCGTTGAAAGTTAGGAAATTCCATTTTTAGAGCTCAATTTCCAAGAAACTGGCCTAACTCAATTTATATATTCTGCCATTGTAACGGTGTAGATCATGAATCATCATTGAACGTCCTAAGTAAAACTATAGTCCAAATGATCTAGCAATATTGCATACATCAAATGCCCCATCTTACTTGTTTACGGGAAGATCCATTCTTCACTTACGATTTGTATCATATGTACACGTCATTTGTGCCTGAGAAGTCTAGGGCTTGAATTCGAAGTCTTTTGAGAAAAAGTAATCAAGTGATTTTGTTTTTAGCAATGTTATTAAAACCGGACAGACCGGTTCGACCGGTTGAACTGTGAATCGGTGGCCTGTCCGGTCCGGTTAACTTCCAAAACTGGATGAGCACAGAACCGGTAAAGAACCGACTGAGAACTGGCAAAACCGGGGTAAACCGGCTGAAAACCGGAGTGAACCGGCTGAAAACCAGTGTGAACCGCCGGTTCTCTTTTTTTCTTAAAAAAATTAAACCAAACGACGTCATTTGTTAAATGAGCCGAGTCGAACTTGAGTACTGCTGAGCTCGACTCGAACTCGAAAACTTTAAAAGTAAGCTCAACTATACTAAAAAACTCATGAGCTGAAAATTATCAAGTTCAACTCGAACTCGAAATATAATATTGAAACTTGAACTCGAAAAGGCTCGAACTCAAAAAAATTTAGAAGCTCGATTGAAGCCTGAAATTTGAGCTCAATTGAAGCGAAAGAATAGTTCGCTCTGTGCTCACCAAACGGTTCCATGATTTTGAATGTCAAATTACCTATAGTATTTATAGAAGTCTGTTGGGATGCTCTTCTATGTTTCTTAGCCATGTGAGATTGTTTTCTTAAAAAAATAAACCAAACAACATCGTTTGTTATGATTTTTTTCAGCCCCCAATTTTATTTTTTGATTATAGTTATATAATTATATTTATTATTTAATATGTTTTACCTTAAATATTATGTTGTAGTTTATTTGAATCATTTTGTTTCACTTGATTTTATGTTTTTAACTTATATATGTTATGACTTGTGATATTTTTATATTTTTTAATATTGTAAACTTAAAAAAATGTTATATATATATATATATTAATATTGCTTTGAATATTATGTAAAATTAAAAAAAATATTATTTTATATAAAATCCGGTTGAACCCAGTTGAACCAGTGAACCAGTACCTTCACCGGTTCAAGGTCCGGTCCAGTTTTAAAAACATTGGTTTTTAGCATAAAATCAAGGGATATTGTTGGATACCTACGGTGAAATCTTAACAAATGCAAGTAAATTGAATGAAGGAGATGAATATTATTGATCTGCACACCATACAATCTTATATACAACTTTACAAGGTAGTTATATTCTTAACAGTCTTTGTAACTGACTGTTAACAAACTCAATTAATTACTAACAGCCTTAGCATTTAGTAAACTTCTAGAACCTCTAAGCTACATTCTGGAACCACTAAACTCACAGACTCATTCTTCTAACATTCTCCCTACTTTCTCAACCTTCTTGACAAAAAGATGAACAATTGAGTCGAAAGTGCCGATGCTTTATTTCGTTCACATTGAATCGAAAGTGCCGATGCTTCCTTTCGTTCACTTTGAATCGAAAGTGTCGATGCTTCCTTTCGTTCTTCTTGAATCGAAAATGTCGATGCTTCCTTCCGTTCACTTTGAATCGAAAGTGTTTATGCTTCCTTTCGTACTTCTGATTCACCTTCATTTCTTTCTTCTTCACCCTCTTTTACAAGGTTCATTGACAAACTTTTTTTATGGACTCTTAGCTGTGAAGCATTGGTACCAGTATAGAAACTGGATCATGTTCATCATCTACCCTTCAAGCACCAACCTGACAAAAGAGCCACTTGCGTATCTCTAGAAGCTTTTTATTGAATGCAACATCCAACCGTGCATCCAAGGTGTTCTCACAAACAATCTTTCCATCACTAAAACATTGTACCTGCACAACATTCCTGAATCAGCGCCCTCAATCAGTTTCCTTTTCACCCACAGGTCCCAAATCCAGTCAACCAATATGTTTCATTCTCATCCACGGGCCTTTTTCCCGTAGCCACCTCCAGGACAACCACTCCGAAGCTGTAAACGTCGGTTTTTACAGTCAGAGCACCGGTATAAATGTACTCAGGTGCCAGATATCCTATCGTCCCGGCTGGTATCGTTGCATCTCTTGAAGCACAACAATGTTCGTACACTTCGGCTAAACCGAAATCTCCAAGCTTGGCATTGAACTCGTCATCAAGCATGATGTTGCAAGTTTTCACATCTCTATGTATTATCTGTCTTTCACATTCTTCATGTAAAGATGAAAGAGCAGAAGCAATCCTGAGAACTACCTTTAATCTTAAGCTCCATGAAAGGGTAGTTGTTGATGAAACTGAGGTTTTGTGAATTTGTTGGTAGAGGCTTCCATTGGACAAGTACTCATAGACCAAGACCAACTCAGATTCCTCACAACACCATCCTTGAAGCTGAACCAAGTTACAGTGGTTTAGCCAACCGGCCATAATGGCAAACTCTGTACTGAAAAGATTACGAGTGAATGCTTTTTCGTTGAACTGATCAAACCGCTTCACCGCGACGGTTCCAGCCGACGGAATATAACCTTTATAAACAACTGTTGAACCACCTTTGCCGATGATTCAGCTCTTATGAAACCCCATTGTAGCTGATTTTATCTCTGCAAGTGACCATCTTGTTGGTACATTGTTCGTTTGAACTCTAGGAATTGCACTCTTGATTCTTTTTGCCAAACCCCTCTTCTTCCTCGCCGCAAAGAAACAAAATGGAATTGTTGTTACATCAACTGAAACAGAGATCTCGTTAGCTCCCTCTTCCTCTTCTTGGCGGATGAAGCTCACCATTTGCTGGATCGGCTTAGATACATCTGAGTCATTCATTTTCGCAGGGAAATCATTCTCTTCCGCAATGAAATCAAAAACCTTCTCCAAGAACCCAACGGGATTTGCTGGATCCAGGCTGGTAGTGAACGACACCGGTTTAGCAGCCGTTGCCGCTACCGAAGATGCCGATGGCATTTCTCCTCCTCTTCCATGCAGCAGAAGAAAACAAAATAAAGTCAGGATCGTTTGGCGAATGATACCATGTTGGATACCTACGGTGAAAGCTTAACAAATGCAAGTAAATTGAATGAAGGAGATGAATATTATTGATCTGCACACCATACAATCTCATATACAACTTTACAAGGTAGTTATATTCTTAACAGTCTTTGTAACTGACTGTTAACAAACTCAATTAATTACTAACATCCTTAGCTTTTAGTAAACTTCTAGAACCTCTAAGCTGCATTCTGGAACCACTAAACTCACAGACTCATTCTTCTAACAGATATTGTCCTGGGTGAAAGATCAAAGGGATCCATTTTAAGAGGAGTGTGATCATGTTAATTGTGAAAGGTCTATAACCCAAATTCTTAAAATAGCCTTTAATTCAATTGATATTTAAAGAACTTTAAGGTTAAAAAATATATATTGCTCATAGTATTCTATTTTTCAAGAGAACTTTAAGTAAGAAAAAAGTTCGAACAAGAAAAAATGCAAATGCTTCATAAGGAATACACCACTCAGCTTCCTAAACTCTCCCTTAAACGATTTAACTGGAAGCGAAGGAACTAAGTTATAAATCTTTTGAAAGTGAAGCTCGAACTCTTTAGTCATCCGTTTCGGATTTCTCAGAAGTTGATTGTTTGTACGAAGAGACGCGATGTGGTTGGTCTTGTTCCTTAGAGATGCCGTCACATAAAAAATCTCGTATTCCTATCGTCCTCTTTAAACCATTTGAGGAGTGATTTTTGAAGCCATTCCCTCTCCTCCCTTCTCAGTTTGGACCATAAGGACGCTTTGAGGGATATAAGCTCGGGCAGACTCCGGGTTCTCAGAGATCAACATTTCCTCTTCCAATAATGAAATCTTTTCTTCTAACTCCACAGCAGATAAACTATTTTTTCGTCTATCCTCATTAGCCCACTCTTTTGTTGCCCTCTTCGCGGCTTGGAGAATGGAATTCACTCCTTCCCCAAGATGATCGCTTATGGTCTTCTTTATTACTTTCACGAAACCAGGATCTTCAACCCAGCGTGAAAAAATTTGAATGGCCGAGAGCTCAGAGATGGCCCTTGTTCTTTTAGCGCCACGGGGTTGTGGTCAGAAACTCCTCTCGGAAGAATACTCTGTATGAGCGATGGAGCGATAGCGATCAGTTGAGGAGATAGCAAAAACCTATCCAAACGACACGCAGTGATAACCGATCCCGTTCTTATCCAAGTGTAAGAGCTGCCAGAAAAAGGAAGGTCTATAAAGCTGCATCCCTGAGTGAAGTCCACAAGGGCCTTCGCTGCTGGGACATTAATCTCTCCACCTAATTTTTCTTCACTAGACATGAATTGGTTGAAATCACCCCCCACGATCATGGGTAAATTATGCTCTTCAATTAAGCTAGCCGACATATCCAGAAATAATTTTCTTTCTCCAGCGTCGTTAGGTGCATAGACTATGTTGGACTGATACGGATACGGGGATAAGAAACGGTAATTTCTAAAATTACAGGTACAGGGACTACAAGGGTACAACATATAAAATAATTTTACAATTATAAATAGATGTAAAAATTTATAAATAAAGTCAAATATAAGACTCAAACCACAATATTAAATTTAGTTAGGTTGGTGCTGTAAAGATTATAAACAATTGTCTAATCTATGTAAACAAGAAAGAAAACAAATGAGAGAAATGAATCTTCTGAAATTCATTATATCAAGCGTGAGTATTACAACTCTCAAGGGGAGTATTTATAGCTAGTACTATAGCTATAACTGATGTAACTAACTCCACAACAAACTAACTACTTGATCTGTTGCAGTGAACCAAAACTCAGCTGCACAACCATCATGCACTGCACGTGAACATATATGCCATGCATTTACATACACTAACATTCCCCTTGCAATCTTCAACTTCAAATCTTCTTCAAGCTCAAGAAGCACAAACATGATCAATGCTCATTCAAACCCAAAATGAAATGAAAGTTCATTTACACTAATATTCCCCTTGCAATCTTCAACTTCAATCCTTCTTCAAGCTCAAACTGATCTGCTCTTAAGTTGCACCACCAGCAATCGTTGTCTGTGTTTGAGAAACAGAGGTGCTGATAAAGGCTTGGTCAACACATCAGCAACCTGCTCAATTGCAGGAACTTCATGCACTTGTAGTTATCCCATAGCCACCATTTCTCGAACAAAAAACAGATCTAACTCAACGTGTTTGAACTTGGAATGCAGTACAGGATTAGCACAAACTGCAACTGCACTTGTATTATCACACCACAATGTGGCATTGCCATGTGAAACTACATGCAATTCCCCCAACAACGATCGAAGCCACACCATCTCAGCAGCTGCACAAGCCACACTTCTGTATTCAGCCTCAGCAGTTGAACGTGCAACAACCTGTTGCTTTCTAGAGCTCCACGAGACCAGTTTCCCACAAAAATATATACAGAACCCTGAGGTTGACCGTCTATCATCAACATCAGAACCCCAATTCGCATCTGCAAAACCAGTCAAAGCCATTCTCGAGGAGGGTATAAAACGCAGTCCAAAGTCAACAGTACCTTGTAGGTAACAAAGTATTCGCTTGACTGCCAAAAAATGAACATCCAGTGGGGCTTGCATGAATTGACACACCCTGTTCACAGCAAATGCCACATCAGGTCGAGTGATCACGATGTACTGCAGGGCACTTACAATGCTTCTGTATCGTGCAACATCTTCAAGTGGTGTTCCTTCCTTGGAAGACAGCTTGATGTTAGAGACCATAGGGGTGGGAAGACTCTTCACCTCACCAAAACCATGCTTCTGTAAAAGGTCTTGGATATACTTTTGTTGACTCAAAACAACACCATCACCTTCATAACTGACTTCCACTCCTAGGAAAAAACTCAATGGTCCAAGATCCTTCAACGAAAACTGAGCATTCATCCTGTCTATAACACTTTGAACAACCACCTCTTTATCCCCTGTTATGATGATATCATCAATGTACACCAGTAAGTACACCAAGCTATCCGAGGCCTTTCGAACATAAAGAGAGGCATCCGACTTGGCTAGGCAAAAACCTTCAGATTCCAGGTATGCCTTCAGTCGCTCAAACCAGGCCCTCGGTGCTTGTTTCAGCCCATAAATCGCCTTGTGTAGCTTACATACCAGCTCACCATTGCCTTGCTCATACCCTGGTGGTTGAGTCATGTACACCTCTTCAGTGAGCAGCCCGTTCAAGAAGGCATTGTTGACATCAACTTGTCTCAGCTTCCACCCCCGTGACAACGCCAAGGAAATGATTACCCTGATCGTTGCAGGCTTAACCACCGGGCTGAAGACTTCATCAAAGTCAATTCCTGGTTTTTGAAGAAAACCTTTCGCCACCAAGCGTGCTTTGTACCTTGAAATCGAGCCATCAGCATTTCGCTTTATTCTAAAAATCCATTTACAGTTTACTGCCTTCCTATCTCTAGGAAGATGAACTAGTGTCCATGTGCCATTCCTCACCAGTGCATCATACTCTGCTTGTGCAGCTTCTTTCCAAAGAGGACTCATCAATGCCTCTTTGATATTGGATGGATCTCGATCTGAAATTGCAACGTTATAAGCTTTTGGCTTCCAGATTCCATGCTTGCTCCTGGTCATCATGGGATGCACATTGGAGACTGGTTGTGGAACATCAGTCCCCACTCCAGGTTGAACTTCAACGCACGTTTCTACTGTACCCATCTCTTCTTGGACTCCATGTGAGCTGGCATCACTATCATTATTATTTAAAATGGCCGCACTACCATTATTATTCAAATTTTCTACTAGGACCGAAACTTGCTCCCTATGTGCACCACGCATATCACCATTGTTTAATTCTTCACGTGCACCATGCATACTTTCAACACTCACATTATTTCCTCCTTGCTCCCCATGTGCACCACTCAGATCATTAATTAATTCAACAGGTGAGCCACCACCACTTGCCATACCATCACAACTTCCTCATTGGATTCCACGTGAGCTTTCATTTTCACTACTCCCATTATTATTTGAATTTGGCGCAACACTATATTGGACCCCACGTGAATTTTCATTTCCACTACTCCCATGTGCAAGAGCATTGAATTCACGTGAATAATGGCTAGTCCCATTATTATTTGTCGCACCAGTATCCTCCACTTGGAACATGCCATGTCCACTTCTCCCATTATTTAATTCGTGGACCACACCATGTCTCCCATTATCTTCAATGCTTGCATTTGTTAAATTCTCAACAAAAGTGGGTTGCGCACCACGTTCAAGAGCACTTTGCACACCACTATACGTATTGTTGTGAACCGTTGTTAATTCAAACGGTGTGGCCCCATGTTCATGCACAAAATCTCGCATACCTCCAAGCGGCGTGGTCCCATGGTCATAATTATTATCTCGCATAGCTCCAAACGGTGTGGTCCCAAGATTATCACCAGGTGCAAAAGACGAGGTGGCTCCATGTGCATCATTACAAATGACCCCAACCCCATGCGCATTATTATGGTTGCCAAGCGGTATGGCTCCACGCTTATTATAAACTATAGGCAACTATCCAGTGGTAACAATATCTTGTCTATGACACTTGCATTGATTCTTATCAAAAGGAAATACTTGCTCGTCAAACCTCACATGTCGAGACACAAAGACTCTGCCATCATTGTCTAGACATTTGTATCCGTGATGTGAGGTGCTGGGCCCAAGAAACACACACTGCCTTGACCGAAAATCCAATTTATGTTGATTAAACGGCCTCAAGAAGGGAAAACAAGCACACCCAAACACTCTCATTCCCGAGTAGTCAGGAGCTTTCTGATAAAGAACCTCAAACGGGGTCTTGCCTGAAATGATCTCAGATGGGAGCCTGTTTATGATGTACACTGCCATAGTAAAAGCATGACTCCAGAACTTTATCGGCAGTGATGCTTGAGCTAACATGGCTAGTCCCATCTCAACAAT